AACATAATGGAATGTTGGATAAATGCAAACGTATCAGAGTTTGTGAAAAGAGTTAACCTGCTTCAACACACCTGGTTCAGTGATACATTAGCAGTTCTGCAGAAGCCTGTCCATCACCCATTTATTCAAATCATGTGTGTTGGAGCAGACAAACCTGTAAAACTGAGGTCTACTCTGCAACCCTGCGTGCTTTAGCTGTTTCCCTGCTTCAACACACCTAACTGAAATGAATGTCATTGAAGGCTTCTGCTAAACTCGTTACCATTCTGAGTAGGTGCCGGTAATCAAATCATTTGCGTCAGGTGTGTTGAAGTAGGGAAACATCTAAAACACGCAGGACAAACTATCATTTGCGACAGCATCATTATCTAAGTGAATGACATCAGTGACCTTTTTTTTATTATTTAGATAGATTTCTTCTAACTAGACCAGGGGTCTGCAACCTTTTTTGATCATAGAGCCATTTCTGCCCCTTCACTCATCAAATAAAAAAGAGCCCAGAGCCACAAAACCTGCTACAACTGTGATGATCAACTGGTGGCCCATGGGCAACTTTGTGGTAGTTGGAGGAGTCTTTTATGACCAGTAAGGGGGTGACATTTTAAAACTAGTAATCGATAATTAATTTCAACATTTTTACATTTTGGGACAAAAAAAACTAACTCTATAGTAAAAACTTCTAGTTTCTACCTTTTAGATGGAAATAAAAACACTGAACTCTGCAATGTGGCCTTTAATGTGAGAAATTAAGTATCAACTTTGAAATAATAAAGCAAAAAATAGTAGTGTTGTTCAAACATTTGCAGTAATTTGACAAAAACTGTCAAAACTAGTCTTTTTTTGTTGTGGTTATAAAAACCAGAACAATTTGGTCAAAGCTTCAAAGAGCCGCAGACGAGGGACTAAAGAGCCGCACGTGACCCCCGAGCCACAGGTTGCAGACCCCTGAACTACAGCAGCACCACAAACAAGCCAAGAAACACAACTAAACTGTAAATTAATTAGCCTTTTTTTTTTCCAGTCTTTTGCTTTAAGCTTTGTTTTGTCGCGTTGTTTTTTTCTCCTATAAGAAAATCCAAGCCCAGAACCAAATACAGGCAAATGTGTTAAAAACTTCTTAACTATCAGTGTTAATAATGACTGCTTTCTCTGAGAGTTGAGGAGTCAGTCTACAAGATTTAGTTCTACTTTTTCCTCTAAAATGAGTTAGCGTTGAGTTTCTGCTCTGCTGTTTGGGATGAGTTGCCAAAAACAAAAAGCCACAAACGTCTTCACGAGTGTCGAAGTGAAGCTTCAACACAATCTGCTGCTTCTTTAGACAGATAACTTTTACTAATTGTTTTTTATAATGTTTCTGTACAGCGCCTTGAGACGACTTCTGTTGTGACTTGGCACCATAGAAACGCACTGAACTCAATTGAATTGACCACAAATCAGGTCCAACTGGCCAATCTTGTTTGTCCACATGGTGTAAACCTAAAGAAGCTCTGAATCCATTGTTGTTTCAGGTGTGGGTGTTTGAGTAAGAGGGTGTTGGAGACGGCCAGGTTTGTTTTCAAACCTCTGAACAGGTGTGTCCTTCGTTTTAGCCTCGACTTTGGAAGCAGCTGGCTTCGTTTAGAGAAGTGAACTTGGACATGACAAACTTCTGCAGTTTGGTCTAACAAGTTCTGGGGTATGTTGGAAGCAAATCATTTATTGTGTGAATGTTTATGAAGCATTCACAGTGTCGATCCATTTTTCTTCCGTACGTTTTTCGGCATCTTTCTCGTTCCACAATTTTTACATTTCAACAAATCGCATATCAAAACGTTCAGCTCTTTCATGAGAAGGGTGCTATGACTTTTGGTGTTGGTGCAACTTTAGCTTTTTGAAATATTTAGCCTTTTTTTTTGCCATTTTTTTCCCCCCTCATACAAAACGAATCAAGCTCATTTTACATCCGTCATATCTTTAGAAATATTTACAACCTTTTACTGCTCCTTTCACATTTTGTTCTGCTTCAGCTTCTTTGTGCAAATTTAAACTTTTTTCAGCTAATTTCAACTGTGTTTTCATCTGTTTTATGCTCCTTTCAGATTCTTTCAGCTAACTACAACATTTTTGTGCTTCTTCTAACTTCTTTCTGCTAATTTCAGCTTGTAATGCTCCTTTCAGCTTATTTCTGCACGTTTCAGCTTTTTCTGCTATTTCAGCTAGTACTTAGCTGTTTTTATGCTAATTTTGGCATTTTCAGCTAATTCCACTTTTTTTTTTTTGCCACTCATTTCAACTTTTTCCAGCATAATTCAGCAAAAATGTGCTCTCTTGACTTTGTCCTGGTAAGCTTCTTTCTGCCTTTTTAGCTACTTTTCAGCTGTTTTTTTTTTTTTTTGCTAATTTCAGCTTTTTTCAGATAATACCCACTTTTTTGTGCTCATTTCTGTTTCTTTCAGCCTGACTGGGCAAACGTGTTCTTTCTGCTTTCTTTTACTAATTTCAGAATGAGAATAAACTTTATTATCATTGCACAGAGATACAAGGAGAACATGTAAATACAATCGTCCGAAAGATGGGCGGAGTGCACGAAGCTGCAACTATAAAAAGCGCGGCCCTCTTATTCTTATTCAGAATAATATTTTGCTTAGATAAGAAAAGGGAAGAAAACATGAGGAGAGACGGTAAAAAAAAAGATCTCTCCTAGACGGGGCATGATTTGAGGCATCAAAGAAACCTACCACAGCAAAACATATAACGTCTGGCTTCACCAGAGGACAGAGAGAAAGAAAGGAATAAAAAGCAGTTTCAGCTGTTTTTTAGAATTCTTAGCTATTTTCAGTTGTCTTCAGATAAATTCAAGGATTCAAGGTTCTTTATTTGTCATTCTATTTTTTGTGGTAATTTCTGCTACTTTCAGCCTAATTACAGTAACTTGTTTCTGCTCATGTCAGCTTGTTATGCTCCTTTCAGCTTTTTTCTGCTATTTCAGCGACTGTTTAGCTGTTTTATGCTAATTTTAGCTTTTCAGCTAATTCCACATTTTTTAGATAATTTCATCTCTTTCAGCTTCCTTCTGGTAGTTTAAGCATCTTTCTGTCTTTTCAGCTACTTTAATTTTACTAATTTCCTCATTTTTTTTGCTCATGTTTGCTTTTTTTTAAACCTAATTCAGCAAATGTTTTCTTTCTGCCTTTTCTGCTGCTTTGACTTTAACTTCTTCCATTTCAGCATGTTTTTTAAAGCTAATTTTAGCTGTTTTTCTGCAAGTTCTTCTGCAACAAGCATTTTCACAGGAAATGTAATCTCTCTAGTTTTCTTTTAAGATGCAGCATTGAATTGAAAAATGTCATCCTTTAAAAAGCGTGGAGAGTAATCACGTTAACATCTCAGTGTAATTCAGACTTTCTTTTGTCTGCAAGCCTCGCCGGTGCTCCAGCAAGCACATTAGCCTAACCGCTGTTCTGCAGTAATTCTTCCTCTAAACATGCTGCTGCTATCTCATAACAGCCTGGAATATTATCATAAAGCAGCTCTTGGCCTCTCTCGATGGCGGTTCTTCATCTGAGCGGGTGAGGTGAGGGGAGATATTTAATAAAAACTATCTTCCTAATTCTGCAGTGATTCATTGAGAACAGCAGGCTGAACCTCATTTCTGCGCCTCCTCCTGCGCTGTCCAAATCCTATCAAGCTGTCATTTTGAAGTCCGGTGTGATTTGGGCTTCGCCCCGGGGTGGTGCACAATTAAAGCTCTGCTTGGCCCAAATAAGGGGACACGCAGAAACTGCTGGCACCTCTTCATGGCTTCCAGCATCCCTCTCTCTTTTGTTTTTCGTCTTGAAAGGCCTTTGTCTTCGCCGCCGTCTCTCCATCACTCTTTTCTTTCTGATTTTTATTTTTCCCATATTTTCCCCCTTTTTTCACCCTCTCCTTTTTCGGTTTTCACTTTTGGTCATTTTAATTATTCAGGGAGAGTTCTATGCCTGGCGGTTGCCCCGTTTGCTCCGTCTCGTTTGGACGAGAAAGCACCAGCTGCTAATTGATCAATTAGGCCAGCTCCAGATGACATCATTGTAACTTGAAAGGAGTTTTACTGCTGCCATCAAAAGCCGCAGGCAGCGCATCCCATACATGCTCATTTAAATTAGCCTTTATTTATTTATTTACTCCATTTAATTTGCTTAAGTTCTTTTGTGATGTTAACCTGCTGGTGTGGCGTCATTGTGGTTGGTGGCATCTGTCTGATGTTTTAACACCAGTCGCTCAGTTTTCATCGATCTTAAGGTTCTCCTTTATAGTGAGAGTTCTGAACACGCCTCAGATTGACTGCCTCTCAACGTTATTGTTATTATGGACCTTTTTGATCAAATGTTGAGGAAATATCAAATATAGCCCACACTTGTTCATAAATCAAACTTAGAGATACTTATTTTTTTTTTAAAAAGACTCCCCGCCAGTTTGGAGGCAAATGCCCTGAAATTAAAGCCGATAATTAACCTTTTTAATTTAAGCCAACTGTCATTATCGCCCGTCATTAAAAGGCAACAGCGAGTGATTATGGTTTTGCCTGTGTGCGTTTGTCTGTGTGTTAGCAACATATCTTGTGAACTACTGGACAAATTTTAATGAAACTCAGAAAATAATCGATGAATGTTACGTTTCAGAGATGACTTGCTACAAGATGGCTGCCCCAGCCAACTGACCTGAAAAACTACAAAAATGGCTTTAGCTCAGTCGGTTTTGCAGCTACTGAGCTAAAATTGTATGCGATCGTCGCTGATCCCTAACATGTAACATGTGCGCAGATGGCTCAAGATTGTTGTTTAAAATTGTATTTGTTTGTTAGCAAAATATTTCAGGAACAACTGGACAGATTTTAATGAAACGCAGAGAAACACAAAAGTCTTTTTTACCATTTTGCCTTGAAAACAGCAAAAAAAAAAACTTGTGATTTATTTATGTTATTACCGTCAGGATTTATAGGCTGTCACTAAAGTAAGATGTTATATTGACTTTAATTTCAGATTCATGTTTACAGCCTGGAGACGAGCAAACCAACGATTTGTGTCGGCAGCTCGCCGGGAGATTTCACCTGCCTCAACCTGAGAGACAGCCCCCCTCATCTGCTGGTGTGTGGGAACAGAGACAGAAGGTAAAGACACAAAAACACACTTCGGTGCAGATGGAGAATAAATAAAAGTAACGCATGAGGGAAGAAAGCCGAGCCAAGAAGTTGTTGAGTTTTCCCGCGTTGACACCTGATGAAACGAGACTGGAAGCCGAGGCTGCAAGTAGAGAACAGGTGTTTAGAAAACGTGTGAAATGACAAAACTCTTATTATATTTGTGCATTCGTCAAGAATCTGTTTCCTTGATGAAACAAAGCTTCTAAAAGCCTGCTGGAGGAAGAAAAAAACAAGACAGGCACTGATATTTTTACAGAAGAGTTGTTTTGCTCTTTGTCTCCGTGAATGTTAACAATCTTTTTTTTTTTTATCTCGATTCAATCCAGCAGCAGATAAACACATTCATGAATGCACACATTTTTTGCCTCATCCTGGCTCTCCATTTGAAGAAAAAGGCAGATAAAAGACCCATTCTCATCTATTCTGCACTTGTTAGTGGGTGCTGCCGTGCAGAAGATGCCAGAAAAGGAGAAATCCCTGGCATGTCTTCATCTAAAGCTGCCCCCGCTGTTTCTATTCAGCCCCAAACCCATCTGGCTGTTAAGTAGTTGGCTTAAAGGGAAAAGCTACATCATACTGTTTAGGTTCTGTTTTTCTCCTCCTTACTAGTTTTGATTAACAGCACCTGCACAAAGACAAAGAAATGCTCAGTTGAAAATGGTTTGTCGTGGCTTCGGTCTTGCCTTATTGATCAGCTTTTGCCAACAGAAGGAACACAAACGAGCTTGGCTCTTCCGCTTTGGCTTCTGCTGATGAAGCTCAGAGTCGAGGACGAATGATAATGAGAGAGACTGAGGGACAGTCGGCAAACTTGGCCCTTCGTCAGGGTGGCTTCAAGCCAAGGCCTAATGCATCCCCCTTTTTTATCCAGACGTCGCTCTGGATTTTTTAATTTTTTTTTTGCCACATCCAAGGAGTGAATTAGAGGTCCAGATAAGGGCTGTTTGGACAAAAGAACACATCTGTGCAAACAGGAAGGATGTGACCAAAGAGGGGAACGGTACAGTAAATAGAAGGAAGAAATGAGTGTCATACCTGTGGCTGTCAGTCACTTGATTCAAGCTGTACAAACATTTATAGTGTTCCATGTGTTAACCAGGATAATTGTGTTTTTTTTTATTTTAGCACTATCATTTTATTTGAAAAGTCACTTATTTGAGTGGTGGCGCAGAGGTTAGAGAAGGTGGTCCGGTTTGACTCCCCAGACTGACAAAATCAAAATGTGGGTGGAAAAGGTGCAACACCTGCCTCCACCCTCATCTGGGCCCTTGAGCAAAGCCCTTAACTAGTGGTGTAACAATACATCGATTGAAATTGTTTTATCGATTTAATGATTCAATTATATCGTGGCAAAACTAAAATATCGATTCACATCGTCATCTTTAAAATATGCTTTTATTTTGAAATTCCCAAGGCACGTCTGTGTCACCATTTCCGTGCGCGGCTGCGCTCTGCGGCCGCCTCAGCAACATGGCAGACGAGGCAGAAAACACAGATAATGAAATTCGCTCTCGTGCTGGATTTAAATCAACTCTGTGGAAATATTTAGGGTTCTGACAGGACGACGACTCAACAGACGGAACTCATGTCGTATCAACAGGTGTCGGTGTGAGTTAAAATACTCGGGAAACACAACAAATCTGTCCATTCACCTGCACAAGAAACACAACATTGATAGTCATGTTATTAAGCTCAATATCTATTTTTGTTTCTTTATAACCGAAAGATAATCAGGACACTTTTAAGTTAACTGGTTTAAAAAATGCACTTAAACATGAGAAATGTGAGACTATACTGAACAGGTCTTTTATTTTTATTTTTTCATTATTAAGAAAAAAAACTTTTTTTTTTTTTCATTTAAATGCCTGGTGCATGCAATAACAGAAATAAAATGATTAAATCTAGGGCCTCGATTTCCTTAATTTTGAGAAATCGGCCGATACTTGCACGAGAAACCGATTTTACCGATTTTGTTTAGTTTTAACAACAATTGTCTAAACTTCATTTATATTTCAGAGCACTACCTCATGGCCAGTTAAAACAAGCTTGTATTGTTTTTAGGATATTGCTCAAGGTTATGTTTTTCAGTAAAATAATATTGGAAAATTGAAGGTGCATTGTGACTTTAAAACACCTGACGGTGTCGCTTATAAAACAAAATCGGTATCGGCAGGTCAGACTTTTTAGAAATCGGTGATCGGCCAGAAAGCTGCAATCGGTGCAGCCCTAGTTAAATCATATTTGAATCGTTTTTGTAAATGTATTTATATGTAAATGAGATGGGCATTTGATATCGCAATATATCGATTACAGACTTGTGAATTGAATAGAATCATAATCGTATCGTGACAGACTTTGTGATATTGAGAAAAATCGTATTGCCATACAAACAAATCAATATAATATGGTCTTGTGATAAAACTGGTGATTTACACCCCTACCCTTGACCCCCCCATCTGCTCCCCCGGGTGCCCTAGAAGGCAGCTCTGCTCCACACAGAGGGCTGTGGTAGCTCGGTGGTCTGTGGTTGTCTCCGGTGTAAAAACAATCGCCAAGTCTTCGTGAGAGAGAGTTCGCTGTGGCAGCCCTGAAGAAGGGAGCAGCCGAAAGAAAAATAAATAAATAAAAGTCAAGTATTTTATTATCCTCTTCTACTAAAAGATGAACAATAATGTGTGTCTGTCTCTGTCCATCATGTCATGTCGACATGTTTTAATGAAACTTGCAGAAAGTAAACGATGGACACACGTCTACAACTGATTAACATTTGGAGCCAATTCAAGATGGCTGCCACAAAAACAAAACCCAAATGACTAGAACTCCATTTCACAGACGTTAAGCTAAAATTTAGTTTGGTAGTAGCTGCTGATCCTTGATATATATTCCAAACATTTTAAAGATCTTGTGTTTAAAATGTTGCCATGAGCATTTTGGAGTTCTCCCATTATATTGATAAGCAATTCTTAAATGCAGGTCTTCACTCATTGTAAACGATGTACTCAGCCAAACCCACCAGAAAACGCCAAGAAGCCTTGAGCCACGTGTTTGACGGACATTAGTCTGTGTAGCTCAAGAAATATGGCTGAATCAGACACGTGCAGCATCTCAGAGAAGATGTCGAGTTGGATCAATAAAAGTGAATCTGCTGCTTAAAGCCAAAAAAAACAACAACAAAAAAAAAAAACAGTAAAAGATCAAGAAAGACAACTGCCAAGAATATATATCTAGACTCAAGCAAGGTGGTGGAGCGCCATGACGACAGCTCTGGATTCATCCATCCATCCATTATCTTTACCCGCTTCTTCCATTTTGGGTCACGGGGGTCGCTGGTGCCCATGTCCAGCAATCACTGTGCGAGGGGCGGGGTACACCCTGGACAGGTCGCAAGTCCATCACAGGGCCACATAGAGACAAACGAGACAAACAATCATTCACTCCCTCACTCACACCTAGGGACAATTTAGAGTTACCAATCAGCCTAACATGCATGTTTTTGGACTGTGGGAGGAAACCGGAGTACCCGGAGAAAACCCACGCATGCACGGAGAGAACATGCAAACTCCACCCAGAAAGGCCCCTGGACCGGGGTTTGAACCAAGGACCTGCTCGCTGAGAGGCAGCAGCTCTACCAGTTGCGCCACCGTGCTGCCCCAGCTCTGGATTCAAACTGTAAAACTTCTGCTAGACTGCCGTCTTTATATCTGCACACTTCACAAATCAGAGCATGAATAGGTACCAATACATCAAAATGATCAAACATCTCTTCCATGAACATCCAACCTATTTTCTGTCACTTTGCCAGTAAACGAACCAATGTGGCAGTTGGCAGATGTTCACAAATTTTGCTTGCGTGTTTTTATTTAAGGACACAAACCATCGGTACGAGAAACTGTTGTGCGCGTTTAGTTTCTTGCTGTAGGATTTTGTTTATGAGGCTGTCACGACACAAAGGGGGAGAAGGTACAGCCTTCTTCACGTGTGCAGTACTGTCACTTTGCAGCGCAGCTCCAAATTTTGTGTGAACGTAACAATTCATCAGAAATATTAAGCTCTTTTGTGGCCACAAGAGTAAATCAGACGTTATGCTAAAGATGATTTATGTCTTCTTCTGTCTTTAGAGGGGAAAAAGTCTGTTCAGGAGGTATTTGTGCCTCACCCACTCTTCCTCTTGATTAATGAAGAAGAGTCTGGCCAGTGACAGTCCACTGAAGACCGTCTCCTCCAGCATTAGGTTTACGCTTTCCTGTGGTTTGCCAGTAATCTTCATTCCTCATTGTTCCTACGTGCGCTCCCATCACGTAATGCCTCTAAACAGGCCAAACTAACGGCAGACAAACGAGTCCACAGTGCCCATTTAGCCATTTAAGTCTGATTCTTTTAAAAAGTTTTGATAGTGGCAAAATGAAATCTGTGCGAGTCCCCCGAGTAAATTTGATTATGGTAATGAAGACTTGGAAGAAGGTTGAGGCTGGATGGAGTCATGTCCTGGATGCTTTCAGCTGCAATAAAGCCACACGACAACAGATGGAGCTGCAGCTCCCCTGGGCTTTTGTTGCTAATGAAACACACAAAGCAAAAAAAATAAAAAATCCTGTTGCCTTTTATCCGTCATAGAAAAAAAAAACCCTTGAATGCATCATAATTATAATTAAAGCCATCATAATAACAGATTATTCTAACTCTTAATTATCTGCAGAATGAATGAGATGTTAGCGGGGAATAATAATTAAAAACTGCTGAATATTTATTTAAAGATTTGCATTTGGAAACAAGGATTCAGGACATAATGTATAAAGCAAACTAGTACAATTTTTAACTATTTTAAACTTAATTTGAAACGGTTCAATATTTTTAAATGATTTTCAGCAGTTGTGATAATTTTTTTTAAATTTCCTCCCATTTAAATTTCCTACACACTGAGAAATAATTACTGCATTGCTCACAGTATTATCTTCATATCTACATATGTATTTTTTGTATATTTATTTGGATTTTTTTAAAATGTTTTTTCTTGTTTTTTCCTCCATGTTTTGCTCTAATTTAAATATTGTCATTCCACTATTGCGGTTATGCTTTCATACTTATTTTAAGAGTATTTGTTAGTTAAATATGATCTGTTATTTCATTATTATACTTATTTTTATCTAGTAAATCAAATGTAGGATTGGATTAGTGAGGTATGTGGGTTTAAAGGTATTAATTGTAAAGTTATGAAGACCAGACAAGTGCTCATTAGAAGTTCAACATAGATTATTGATATTAATACAAAAAATATAAACTTCTGTGTGCAGCATTATAGCAAAAAATTGATCAATAAATCAAAAGCAATATTTTCCCTATTTTCTCCCCATTGTGATGCAGAGTGAGGGTGTTCGACCTGCGAACCGGCTCCTCCGTGTTGTCCCTGTACGCCCACCACCTGGGCGTCACCTCAGTTCAGGTGGACGACTGGAAGATAGTGAGCGGCGGAGGCGAGGGACTGGTGTGTGTGTGGGAGACCAGGATGGGAGCTAAGCTGTGGGAAATGCACAACAGGTGAGAAATCCACATCACAGTTTTCAAAAATGTCTCGTATGACATGAAACCTGCTCGTATTGTCACTAAACTGATGGTTTTTTTTCTTGACACACGTTAATATGCTGTATCATTTTATCAGCACATCCACAGTTCCTACTAAAAACAATTGCTACTAATTTAGATCTTTGAGAAACATAAGCATGCCTTCATAACATCCATCCTTCATTACTGTAACGCGCTTCTTTTTGGAACCAGTCGGATCTCTGTTGCTCCAACAGTGTTCAGTCAGGTCACCTGGATGGTTTCTGTTTTTGCTGAGACTTTTCATCCTTCATCCAAAGGACTTCTTCAATCTGAGGAGACGCCAAACAAACTGATTTCCACAAACAGCATACTCCAAGGCAGAAAAAAACAGTTTGCTGGTGCTAAAAAGAATCTAAAAAGAATAAGGGGCCGCGCTCTCAGGAGCAGCAGCAACGTGCACTCCGTCCATCTTTCGGACAACTGAACGAATGTAATCTCACTGTATTTCAGTACAATGATAATAAAGCTTATTCTGATTCTAAGATGGCCTCTGGGGCCCGCCCTCTCCCCCGTCAACTCCTCTGAGGTAGTCATGCCAAAGTGGTTCAAAACACCAAAGTTCATGCTCAATAATCCTCTATATTTTTTCTAGAATTCTAGAATTGCGCCGCTCACGGTGGCTGCATGTTGGAGTAGCTCTCTTACATTCATTCTGAGATTTTGCTTTTGAAAACCTTAATTCCCGTTTTGTCTGGATGTAAAATCGCTTTTTTCGATTGATTACTTCCTCTGGTATCAGATGATGTGCCACTGGAAGGATTTTTACTGAAACCTTTGTTTTACGTTTGGACATTTTGGACATTTGTTATGATGCGTAACCATAACAACAAGGTAGTTTTCTACAACTGGGAGCTGCTGTTTAACATCTCAAAAGCTCAAATAATACCTCAACTACAGCCCCAAATCCCAAATGAGTTGATAAGGAGGTGCTGTGGATGCATCTCCGTCTACCTGGAGGTGGTGCTCCAGTGCCTGACCGCTGAGATCTTGAAGGTAACTTGAAGGCTCGTGACAGCAGGAGGACCAAGATCATCCCTTGACACAGGCAGTTAAGTCCACGGTGACGAGGGGCGTCTATAACAACTCTAATGGAACCAGGATGAGCTACATCAACAATTAAGTTCCCTTTGGGATTAATAAAGTATTTCTGAATTGAATTGAATATAAACCTCTATTGCACATTTACAACTGGTTCAAAATGCTGCAGCCTGATTCTGAACTGGTACAGGCAAAAGAGAGCACATTACTCCAGTTCTGGCCTCCCTTCACTGGCTCCCGGTTCACTTTCAAATTAATTTGAAAATCCTTTTGTATGTTTTTAAATCTCTGAACAGTTCTGCCCCCTCCTATCTTGTTGCTCTGCTGCAGCCATATGTCCCACAGTGCTCTCTCAGGTCAGCAGACCAGATACTTTTATTGGTTCCAGGCACTGGTTTTAAGCTCAGAGGTGACGGGGCTTTCTCTGTTGCAGGTCCAAAACTGTGGAATGAGTTACCACTGCATGTCAGACAGCTTCCCTCTCTCACTGTTTTTAAGTCTCGTTTAAAATCTCACTTTTACTCCCTGGCTTTCGTTCCTGTATGAGTTGATTTTAACTTTTGTTTATTCTATAATTTTAGTCATTTAGTTTAATATCTTTACCTCAGTGCATCTATGTATTTTATGCTGTGTTCTTTGCTTGTTTGTTTTTGCTCTACACCACTTTGGTCGGCCTTGTTGCGGTTTTTAAGTGCTTCATAAATAAAGTGGTACGGTATAAGCAGATTATTATGGGTTAAAGGCTGAATGCGTTGTGTGTTTTGCGAAAGGCATCCTGTAAGACATGTCCGCTTCAACACCAGCACGCTGCTAACAGCCAACATCCCCGATGACAAGTCGCCACGAGGAGCCTGCATCACAGATGATGACCTCACAGCTCATCGCAGGTCACAATCTGCCTCCATTTTAACCTGCGTGTCTGCTGCACGTTCATCCTTCTAAAAACCGAACATGATCTCTGTTGCTGGTACTGATATGGATGTTTTCACTCTGCAGACACAGAGGAGTCATCTGCCATTACGACTTTTCAGAGGACACGCTGTCACAGGATCATGTCTTACCCATCTGCAGGTCTGACTACACCGAATCATACGGCTACAACTACAACATTAACCTGGCGATGCCCTACGACAGGCTGGCTGGCTCACATCCATCTCACTGATGTGCAGTTTTCAACAGAGCAAATATAACCCTGATTAGGTAACTGAACGGACACAATGAACAGTTAGATTCTTCATATGCCTATTTTTTTGTTTCTTTTTATTATTCTTGTCAAAATAAGGCTTTTAAATGTTTAAGTGCTTAAATGTAGCCCAAAGTGTTGAACTCCCTAAGATCCCACACTTGTACAACTTTACTGTCTTTATTTTAAAATATGTTTTACACCCAAAATTGACACAAAGAAGAACACAGCTGTAATAAAAAAAAGACATTTCTGTCTTGATTTTTTTAAATAAAACATCCATCCATCCATTATCTTCCTGCTTTTTCCGCAGTCGGGTCACGGGGGCAGCAGCTTGAGCAGGGAGGTCCAGACATCTCTTTCCACAGCCACCTCTTTCAGCTCCTCTTGGAGAACCCCAAGGTGTTCCCTGGCCAACCAAGAGACTAGTCTCTGCAGCGTGTCCTGGGTCATCCCCGGGGTCTCCTCCCAGTCGGACATGCCCAAAGCACCTCCCTATGGAGGCGTCCAGGGAGCATCCTTACCAGATGCCCAAACCACCTCAACTGGCTCCTCTCGATGAGGAGCAGCAGCGGTTCTACTCCGAGTCTCTCTCGGAAAACGGAACTTCTCACCCTATCTCTAAGGGAGAGTCCAGTTACCCTGTGGAGGAAACTAATTTCAACCGCCTGTATCTGTGATCTCATTCTTTCAGTCACTACCCAGAGGTCATGGCCATAGCTGAGGGTAGGAATGTAGACCGACCAGTAAACAGAGAGCTTCTCCTTACAGCTCAGCTCCCTCTTCACCACAACGGACCGGCACAGAGTCTGTCAATCTCATGCGCCATTCTTCCCTAAATAAAGCATGTCTACATTTGTTTCTGCAAAATTTGGCATTACTTTCCCCACAATATCCTATTTGAGTAAAATAATGCATCTGGTTCAGAAATGGTCAAAGTAGCTGATGTAATGTTCCAGCAGCTGTGGTGGGTGGAGTCTCAGAAGAACACAAAAGTGAAATGCCTAACTCCTCTGGCTCTGCAGAGGAATGGTATGTGCCTGCAGGCTTCAGATGGTAAGTACAGCAGACGACCCATGAAGGTCCGATGACCCAGTTCCTCGCAACACGTAAACATTTTGTTTAAAGTTCTGAATCCTGCATGCAACAGTGTGAGATCATGTAGGAGTTAAAGATGACAAGTGCAACCCTAATTCTGAAAAAGTTGGGACGTTGTGTAAAATGTAAATGAACATGCATTCAAAACAGGTCTGATTTACTGACTCAGGAGCTGTGGGCTCAAGAACACAAGTAAAACGTAGTCCTTTAGTAGTGAACACCATCCTGTCTTCTCTGAACCAAAGCTCTTTTAAAATGGAGGCAAAGTGGAAAACTGTCCTGTGGCCAGATGGATCCAAATTTGATATAATTATTGAAAATCAAGAATGCTACATCCTCCATTCTAAAGAGGAGAGGGATTGTCCTGCCTGTATTCAATTTTGAGTTCAAAAGCCTCTCTGATGGTATGGGGGTGCATTCATGTCTCTGGCATGGACAGCTTACACATTTGAAAAAGCATTATCAATGCAGAAAACTTTTTTTTTTTACAGTATTTAGAACAACGTGCTCCCATCCAACAAACGTTTTTAGCAAAGGTGACCCAGGACTGTTGAACAGCTAGAATCCCATCAGGTCAACGATCCCCTCCACAACTCCAGCAGTTTGTCTCATCAGTTCCTAGACATTTGCAGACTTTGTCTAAAAAACAAAACAGATGCTTCAAATGCTTCAAAGAAGGAAAAACTACCCACATCCAAACCTTTTTTATTAACATCTGTTGCTGTCATAAAATTCAAAATTACCTCATTTTCCCCCTTAACAAAGTACATTTTATTAGTTTCAACAGTTGATATCCTACTTTGTTTCTTTGTGAATAAAATGTGGAATTTATAAGTTTTGGAAATCATTTCATTTAGTTTTTATTCACAATTTACACTACACATTTATTGGAATTCGTGTTGTATAATAAAAACATCAAAAGTGTGGAAATCTGCTTTATTTATGTAAAATGTTTGCATAAAGCTCATAAAACATGGAAACAGATTGCCCAGTGTTAAGTATAAATACATCCAGTGTGTAGTTATACAGTGTATGTCCAAGCAGCTTACAGATGAGATTATTACTATAAACAAACTTTAAAATGAGTTGTTTTCTTCAGTTTAAAAATATATTAGTGCATATTACAAGTATTTGGCTTAACCTCCATTAAGGACAGAAATAGTTCTGCTAAAAACAGCAGCAACATAAAGAATTCCTTAGAACAACATTAGTCCTTCACATGGTTGCATTCCCACAATGCATTGTGGCGGTGTTGGCATCCAGAAAACGGATGTGCATCCTGGACTCCAGCTCAAGACGTTGCAACATCTGTGAGCAGACAACAAAACCCGTCACTGAGGCACAAAGCAGCTTCATGTTTGTCAGTGGAAGTTGGAAATAACGCAAACCTGTTCAAAATGCTCAAATGTAATCCCTTCATAGAAATCATCGGGACCCTGCAGGGATTAGAGACACCGAGTGACTTCGTTGGAACAGAGAGAATTTGTTTTAGCGGCTCGGCTTCAGTGAGTTTCGTTACCATTTGAGGGACGTTCGTGCTCGCCACCTCCAACATGGCAGCATCTGCTATCGCCTTGGCAGCGTCCTGCCCGATGGTGCCGCTCTTTGACAGAAGCTCCTCAACAACCTTGGCACAGGACAGAAAATCCAACAGATTTTAAATCCTCAAAGGAAATAATCAGAGGTTAGAAAGTCCTAAATATTCGATAAAGTTTGGTTTAATTTATCACTTGATCGTTTGCCTTTATGTGGTTGGTTTGATGTCTAAAATTACCTACTAGAAGATTTTTAGGACTTCTTAAAATATCTCGTAACACTTTACAATAAGGTACAAAAAATTTACTTAACTACTAGGGAACGCCTTAGGAACGAATCAGGAGCTACTTACTGGGGAACACACAGCCAAGCCTTCTTAGGGGACTACTGGTTAGTTACCTTGTAAATTAAGAGGAACTAATCAAGAACTAATGGGTAGTTACCAAGGAAACCAAAGAGGAACTAATCAAGAACTAATGGGTAGTTAACCAGTACTTACTGGGAAATACATAACCAAGCCTTATTAGGAGACTACTGGTTAGTTACCTTGTAAATGAAGAGGAACTAATCAAGAACTAATGGGTATTTAACCAGTACTTACTGGGAATTACATAGCCAAGCCTTATTAGGGGACTACTGGTTTGTTACCACAGAAACAGAGGAGAAATTCTCCATGTTGGTTCTGAATAAACGCTGCACCAGTCAGGTCAATGCTCTTAATTGTCAAAAAACCTGTTTCATGGTGATTATTGATTTTACTGGATTTTCTGTTTTGTAAACCTATTGGTTAACTACCCATTAGTTCTTGATTAGTTCCTCTTCATTTACAAG